ATCGATCCCAGGTGAAAGGGTGTCCACCCTCTGCTGAGCCTAGGAAATAATTAGAGGCCTACAAATAGACATAGGCTCATAAGCTAAAGGCTTGAGTGAAACCAAGCAGTTTCTAGGGAAGGAAGTATTTTTATTGATGCTCTTCAGTTACTGATGTGCTGCTACTCGCAGAGCGTCTCCGAACTTACGGAAGATAGTGAGCATTTTTCATGAGTGGCTAGCTTTTGTGAGTTTCTGGTTGGGCTGGATTTAAATGATCAGGGTACTAGAGCTTCCCCAACAAATCAGATTGGCAGGCTGTCAGTGCTGCTCAAAATATGGCCCAAGGACTGACACCACATCACTTGGGGGTTGTTAGAAATGTGTATTCTCGGGCGTCTGGGTGTCTCAGATGGTTAAGTATCTGCCTTCGGCTCTGGTCATGATCCCAGGGTCCTGGAATCGAGTCCCGCGTTGGGGTCCCTGCTCCTTGGGAGGCTGCTTCTCCCTCTGCCTCTCTCTCTTTCATGAATGAATAAATAAAATCTTAAAAAAAAAAAAAAGAAATGTATATTCTCTGTTTCAGCTGGGGGTGGGGCCCAGCAGTGTGAGTTTGAATGCCCCTCCAGGTGATTCTGATACACACTAAAGTTCAAGAATCATGAGCCACCCTATCCCTTCTCCCCTCTTCCCTTGGCACCAGGATCCTCAATTTGGAGGAAGGATGGCAATGTTCCCAGGGAAACGGCATATTTCCCAGCCATTTCAGGTTAATGATATACATATGGAAGCAACCAGAAGGAGCATCTAAGAGAATAGTTTCAAGGAAGGTGGGCTTAGTTGGGAGGTGCTGCCCCTTTGCCCCTTGCCCTCCCTTCTGCTTCCTGCCTGAACTGTGGATGCAAGGACCAGCTGGAAAATTGCCATCCCCGTTTCTGAGGCAACCTCATGGAAAAAGTGCACTAAAAATTGAGGAGCCTAAAAGCAGGAGTCTGTTCCCAATAATCAGATCACAAAGTAACCATACCAGCTATGGCTTTCTTTCCTCCAGATTTCTTTAATACAAGAGAGAAATAAACCTTTAACTTATTATGAATATACTCTAAACGTGCTGGTTGGGGTTTTCAGTTGTATGTTATCCAACCTAATCCTAACCAAACCCCAAAGATTGGTCAGTGTTAGCTCAGATGCCCCCTAGAAGAGCCAACTGTGAAAGTGAAAACCACTTTCCTGGGACTACTGGGAGCCTTGCCCACTACCCAATGTCCTGCTTGCATTCTGGGCCCCCATCCCTTCTTCCATATACAACCTTCTGCAAAGTCAATGAAGTAAAAACGGAGTATTTTCTGGAGAAAATGAGCTGGGGTGCCTTTTCCCTTACCTGGTTTATGAAGATAAGAAATTAACACATGCCTTGAAGAAAAGAGAAACGGGAAAGAAAACCATTGAGATTCAGAAATCCACAATTTACTGGTAGGGAAATGAGAATCCTCTTTCAAGCAGAAGGTGCATTTTACTTATGATAAAATCATCGTATGTTGTTTTTATTGCCAACTTAATAACCATCTTGCCCACTTGCCGTAAGTAGAAGGAGGCAGGGACCATGACCAGGGTTTTTACCAATGGATCCCAGGACTTAGCACAGAGCCCAGCGCATGGTATGGGCTCAGTAAGGATTTATTGAATAAGTGAATGAATCAGTGACTAGATGGATTAATAAATACCATTCTTTCCATATGTATGATGATCCTTCCATTTATTCCAGGTGAGACAATCAAGTGAGTTGTCTATGAATGGCCTCCGGGAATGGAGGTTAAACGTTTGTCTCGCCATTCCATTCCTCAGACACTCAATGGGAGGCCCTGCAGTAGGGCATTACGGACTGAGAGATTACTCCAGAATTATAGAGAGAGCATCACTGTAGGCCTTGTAACCCACTCCCAGTGCTACATGTCTCCTGGGTCACATCATTTGATCTCTCAAGGTCCCCATATGCAAAATAAGGTGAAAGAAATGATTCTCAACATGCCAACCCCAACTGATTCAATCAACTTAGGAATCCAGAAGAAACCTTAGTGTCTGGAAATAACCTCTAGCCTCAGTTCTTAAAAATTTGTTTATAATTATTTTTATTATTATTTTTAATGAGCTAATACAAGGTAGCAGGGGACCCCGGGAATGTGGTTATTTATCACATGACCTCAGGTGCATGTGCTATAAACTTCACAAATAGGCACGCCGATTTCACTAATTATTTCCAATAAAACAGAAGGTCAAAACTCAGCATCAAGAGATGACACAACACAGTTGAGGCTGTTAAAAGTACCAAAACGGGCATCATAAATTATATCATGAAACGTGAACAGCTTTGCTCAACGAAGGAGAACCTCATCCTTCCATACCGCAAGGATGCCATTGGGAGTTTCTCAAGATAGAACACGAAATGAAAAAGAAGGGCCTGGCCAGAAATGCTGTACATTATCCCCCAATGACCTGCCACAGAGACTATTTTTAAAGAAGCATTTATCTCAGCAGGAATGACAGCATTTAAGAAGAGGCCAGGTACCAGCGCCAGGCAATTCTTCACGGACGGGGAAGGCTGCAGAGCCTGGCTGCACCCTTTACAAAGGCCTAGGTGATGGATGATATAGGAACTGCTCTTGTTTGGTTAGGTGGTTGGTTTAAGAAGCCATACAGTTAATGCATATATTAGAGCTTGAAAACCCAAATGGAATTGACCCCCAAATTATGGCAGCCATCTCAACACTCAAAAATTAATTGGATGTGAGATTTACAAGATCCATCTTAACTACAAATGCAGATTCTAACTGCTTTATAAATTTCTTAAGTGGTAGCTGCTCATTAAATTGTATCATCCCATTGAAGAATAATGTTACAAGGGATGTGGGCATCTCCAGGTTACACAATTCTCTTGAACGGACCTAGCCACTGTATTTCATAGTCAGAATACAGAAAGTATATTACAGCTATGTTACATTGGGCCTCTCATTACTGATGTAGCCTTTATGTTAGGCAATTCCTATAAAACACTGAGAGAAATGTTAATACACAATAGTATATTTATATATTTGGGGGGATCAGGGTGTCAAATCAGAGCTGACATGTCTTCTTTCCCTGTAAAGAAAAAAAAGAGTGAATAAAGAGGTAGGAGACAGGAGAAGCAGAGTCAACATTTTAACCATTAAAACTGATTTCAGATCCAAGGTGGAAAGGTGTCGTAATATTTACTCTTTCCTCCTGTCTACTTGTTACTCCAGAAAACAACAGAAAGAGGGCCTGAAGCTGTCCTGGGACCCAAGTGTCTCCTCAAAGCTGAGAAAACACTCCATGTGGTCATCAGTACCCTGCTTCAGTTTTTGGAGATGCCTGGTAGGGAGTGTGTAGCACTTGAGAGCACTCAGAACACTGCATATCAACTTGAAGCATGAGTTCTTGCAAGCTGATGCTCACCGGGCCTCGGCCAGTCCACCTCCAGGGACGAAAGCTCATAGCTCGCTGTCCTTCCAGGCTAGATAGTTCCGGTGTATGAAACCTTCCTTTTCTGTGCTGTCAAGACTTCAGTCTATTGCTGACCCTTGCCAAAGCAGTTTTCCTGGGTTCCCCACCCCCATCCCCACCCTACCCCCATTCATGTTCCAAGCAGGTCTCAGAAAAGAATTTACTTGGAGCACTGAAGGGAAACATACTTGACATCCACTGCATGCCCTAATTCCCACGCCAATGACATCTGTTTTCAAAGGTCCTGAACCGAGACACATAGCATAGATTTCGCATGGGACCTGACCATGATAACAAAGATGGATCATGTTTTACAGCTAAAAGAAACAAAGAATTTTCACTTTGGAGAACTGTGGTTACTCTTCCCCATCCCTCCCTCAATCACTCATGTTGTCCACTGTGTTTTATTCTTGCCCATAAAGAGAATGCCAGAGGCCCCCGAACCCTTCTCCTGTTGTTTCTGGGGGTGCAGCAGCATCTAATGCCGGTACCCACGATGGTGAGCTTGTTTCACAAGTGATCTGTGTAAGAGAGAAAAGTAACTACTCCACCTACACAAAGAAAGGTGCCTGGACTAAATGAACTGTACAACACGAGTTTACGAAGTGCATCCTCCTGACAGCAAGTTAAATGGCTATAAGATATTGTGGTTGCATTCCATTCAATCAGACCTAATTTCCTGGGACTCCAAACACCAACTCCTCCCAAAATATGGCTAAAAGGCTGGCAAATATTTGCAGGTACCATTCCTGCAAATTAAACCCAGATATAGTTATGTACAAAGTTAGTTTACAGAATACCTATCGCATTAAGTTTCTTTAAATAGATCAAAACAGGAATAAATAGCATCCTTAAATTTACCACCTAATCGTCATGGAAAACTTAGGACACTTGGTTGAGGGGGGAGCAGATCTCTATAGATATTGATCAAATATTTGGTTTTCTATATTAGAGTATCTTCAATGCAATTGTGCCAATTTTCAAATAGAACATAGGCTTGGTGATACTCTAAATGCAAAAAGTATCTTGTATTTCAAACCCAATATTTATATGATGACTCTAACTTCCTGGCAAGTCAGTGCGTTAGGTCATTGGGCTCTGAGAAACTTTATGGAAGAGGACCTTAAATGTTTCTCACCCTCAAATTCATTCTGAAATGCAAATAAGTCCTTGCACCTCACTAGGCGGAATACACAGTCCTTGCTCAGCATGTGCACCCATTGGAAGGTGTGATCCTTCTTCCCCTGCTTTGGGCTGGGGAGACCCGAAGCCAAGAACACAGCTCTGGGATTCTAAAGGTGATTCAGGACACCCCCAAATCAGTCACCTGAGTTACAAACATATTGACAGCTGAAAGGGGTCCTAAACTAGGAGTCACAAAATCAACTTCTCCTCCCGTGTCCTCTGGACAGTGTCCTCTGGACAGTGACAGACAGGAAGCATGGGTGCATTTAAGGTTCTTGGATAAGGTTCTTCCAACATCTTCTTTCCCCAGAGGCTGTTCACATCAGGACCTGTTCTCGGGTCTCTGGCAGCCGAAGAGCAATCAGGCCACCCCCAACGAGAGATGCAGCGGCCAGAAGAATGGGAACCACTTTGGTTATCCCAACAAAAGAAGCAAAGATGGTGTTTCCCAGGATGGCGCCAAATTTGCATAATCCATTAAGGATGCCAAAGGCTGTCGCCCTGTTAAAAAAGAAAGTCAGTCATTCTAAAAGACGAACCAGACCTCCTTGGGATGAGCAGGACTGGGTCCTTTCTTTCCCTGTTGTGAGGGAAGGTATAGTGAAGGTGTGGGAGGGAAATTTGTTCCTAAACATAAAAGTCAAACATTCTCATTTTAATCAAATTTGGAAATACAGAACATAAAGATGCAAAGGTATATAACCCCACCACTGAAAGGCAATCACCACTATTACCAGTCTAGAGTATTTCCTTCACACTTGTTTCTTTCTCTTTTCAAATGTTATCTCTTTGAAATTGTCACAGATAGGACATGCATATTGTGAAACACTGAAAAAACAGAGAGAATGAAGCAGAAAGCGTCACTATTCCTCCTCAATAACACCCTGACCCTCTTGTGACAGACACTGCTGGGTGTCCCTAACTAGCATTTCTCCAAATGTAACTACATTTTCCAGACTCCCTTGCTGAGGAGTCTGGCCATGTGACTATGTTTTTAGCCAATGAGATATAAGTGCAAATAGCAGCTCCTGAGAAATTTCCTTGAGAGATGTCATGAGTGGTACGTTTTGCTCTCTTCTCTTCCGTTTTTCTTCCTTCCATCCCACTTCCAAAAATGTAGATGGTCTCATCTTGACCCACGGCTGAGCTCATGAAAGGGTGAACAACAAGATAAAAAAAGCCTGCAATGCCTGGTGTGGACTTCTACAGGAGAGAAAAAGGAAATGCCAACCTTCTTAAGGCTGAAGTTATTTGAGATTTCTGTTATCAATGGCAAAACCTAATCCTAATTATTATCCCTCAATCACACTTCTGAGGGGCAACTATTATTTTTTTTAAGTTCATTTATTTTTTTAGTAATCTCTACATCCAATGTGGGGCTCCAACTCACTACCCCAGTGATCAAGAGTCACATATTCTACTGACTAAGCCAGCCAGGTGTCCCCTTAATGATAACAGCTACTAATCATCTGTCCTTTCTTGACTCCATCTGTATACAGAGACTATATTCCCAACACCAGCTCTCTTCAACTGAGGCAAAATATTTTTTTTCCTATCACAGGTTTACTAAGAATGTGTCTACATTTTTGTACATTAATTTTTTTTACATTTTTAATCACTTTATATATAACTAGCCCCCAATCCCAATCTTTTTGTTTTCAGAATTTTCTTGGGTATTTTCACATGTGTATTTTTCCAAATGAAATTTCCAAAGTTGTCCCAAGTTTCCAGAGGAGGGGGGGAAAAATCTCATTGAATTATGAATGGACTCTGAAGTTAGAAGGAAACAAAAGAAGCTTTGAAGTTCGTGTAAGAATAAATCTTCTTAATGTGGTATATATACACAATGGAATATTATGCAGCCATCAAAAGGAATGAGATCTTGCCATTTGCAACGACATGGATGGAACTGGAGGGTGTTATGCTGAGTGAAATAAGTCAATCAGAGAAAGACATGTATCATATGACCTCACTGATATGAGGAATTCTTAATCTCAGGAAACAAACTGAGTGTTACTGGAGTGGTCGGGGGTGGGAGGGATGGGGTGGCTGGGTGATGGACATTGGGGAAGATATGTGCTACGGTGAGCGCTGTGAATTGTGCAAGACTGTTGAATCACAGATCTGTACTTCTGAAACAAATAACGCAACATATTTTAAGAAAAAAGAAAAAGAAGAAGATAGCAGGAGAGGAAGAATGAAGGGGAGTAAGCCAGAGGGGGAGACGAACCAGGAGAGACGATGGACTCTGAAAAACAAACTGAGGGTTCTAGAGGGGAGGAGGGTGTGGGGATGGGTTAGCCTGGTGATGGGTATTGAGGAGGGCACATTCTGCGTGGAGCACTGGGTGTTATGAACAAACAATGAATCATGGAACAGTACACCAAAACAAATTATGTAATATATGGTGATTAACATAACAATAAAAAAATTAAAAAAAAGAATAAATCTTCTTAGAATTTCATAAGGTATATCTTGACATATATGTAAGTCTTCTGTTTTATCTCTCAGTAAAGCTTTATGGTTGTCTTCACATAAGTGTTTCATCTTTCTTATTATCTCTTATATTCTTATATTCCTATTTTATGATTTCTGCTATTATTAAATGGAATTCAATTTTACTTTAAAATTTTTGGATGCATTTTTAAATTCCATATGTTATTAAGTTAGTTTTGTTATTGACCACCTTATCAAATTATTTTTCTGTTTTGAGCAGTCTCTTTAGTTAATTGTCTTGGGTTTCCTAGATATAAAACCATATACCATTGAAATAATGACGGTTTTTCCTCCTCTTATTTTTTGTAAAATTTAGAAGCTCTTTGGTTCAGGGGAGAGGGGCTCCAAATATGGTATGCTGTGCTTTGCCATAGCTAGCCATATTCTAATACCTCTGTCACCAATTTGGGGAATATCATTAAGATTTTTTTGCAGAATTTCATTTACCTGCCTTCCACATCACTTCGCACTCCTTTTTGACCATAGGGCCACTTACCTGCCATCCTTAAAATTCACAACTCCCTCTCCATAAGGAGAGACAACTGCTACATAATGGCTTTGACCCCATGCCTTTCAACCAGGCCTCTTCCCACATGGCTTGCACAAAAATAAAAGTAAGCACTGGGCATTCCTATCACATTCTCTGCAAATGCCCTAGACCATCAGGACTCACCCCCACCTTTATCTGCCCTTGCCTCTCCTCCACCCTTTGTTTATCTAGTTCTTCACATTTCCCCCCCCTGTCTCCCATTAGAGGCCTGTTTCCACCTCTCTTTGGAGCGCATGATACCTATGGTGTCACCCTCATTTCTTTCTCCTGAACATGGTTTGCACTTTTCCTTTGTATCTGACCCCTCACCCCACCCCATCAGGCTTTAGCCTGCTCACTTCTGTGCCTATACCAGCCCCCATACAGGAGAAACTCAAAAACCGAAGAGATGCTTCCTTGGTCCGTCAAGCACCAGAAGACCAAGATGGCTGTGGGGGAGGATGTTGGAATGGGTAGACTTCTGGCCAAAGAAGTCCGAACAAATCCCAGAGAAAAGCCCAGGGAAGAACTGACCTCTGGTTGGTGGGATACAGCTCCACCGTGATCACATCCAGAGCATTCCAGGCGGCAATGCTGGTCCCACAGAACAGGCACTGCCAGCCAATCATCGCAGACTCGCTGTTGCCAAAAAACAGGAAGAAGCAGCAGACCGCCGAGATTAGCATGGAGCCACCTAGAGGCGGAGATCAAGGGCAGAAAAAAAAAAAAAAAAAAAAACACGAAGCCCATATCTTAGACAAGACTGTCACCCATAGGTCTTTCCCCTCTCCTATCCTCACAGGTGCGCCTGAAGTAACAGGTCACCTCAAGTCACAGGTCCATCTCTACACAGAGAAATCATAGCTTGAAGCCCCCACATGGTACTCCCGTCACGGGATTAGAGCCTTTTGCGTGGGTCATGTCACCAGAATTAGCCTCCCGGAAGGATTTTGGGAAATCCTCACTCTGTGGTGCTGCCCAGCCCAGAATTGGGGAGGAGGCCAAGGGGACATTTCTTGAGAATCTGTTATATCCCCGACATTGTTCTGGGTGCCTGAGATACATCAGTTATCAAAAAATCCTCTTGGAGCTTACGTGCTATTGAGAACAGAACTGTAAATGGGCTGCAGAAGAAAACCTGAAGGGCCTTGCTCTTTAGTCTCCATTTATCCTAAATCCACCCCAGACATCTGATCTGCCCTTCTCAGCCCTGCCTGTTTCCTGAGAAGCTAGCCCCCAGGGACTGCATACCTGCTGCTCCCTTATCAGCTGGGAGCAGATAGGGGTTGGAGTATTTCTTTCCTATTCCCGTTCTATCTATAAAGTCCTTTTTTGGTCATGGCTGCATCCCCCCCAGGACTATAGTTCCTTCCAGGAGCCTCTACCTCCACGCTTCCTGCTCTCCCTGGGCTCGGTGAGTGCTCTTCTCCCTGCAATCGTCGAGGCAGTACCTGCTGCCAATTTTGCTAGCATCTGAGAGCCTCATCTGCCTTATTTGTTCCCATAACCCTGTCCCCAAATAGCTGGTGAGGTAGGTACTATTTTTTTTTTTGGCCAACATTTTATAAATAGGGAAAGTGAGGCAGCACAGAGAGGTTAAGAGACTTGCTCAAGGTCACACAGGGAGGGAAAGGTGGGACTTGAACTCAGGCCTCTCTATCACAAGGGAAATGAGAATTAACCGAATGGAAGTACAGTGGGCCACAGGGATCTATAGTAGGTTTACCCCCCCAAAGCCACATCCCATCCCTAAAGTCTCTTCACTAGAACTCTCTGGGGTGGATTTTTTTCCCCACCAACACTCTGGCTGATACAGCTCATGATAAGAGGTCCCACTGAAAGAAGCTGTGTCAAATGCTACCCAAATCCATTCCATCCAGCCCAGAAGAGCTTGGGGAGTGTGGAGTGTGGAGTGGATGCAAGGCTGGACCAGGAGTATGGCTGGAAACGCAGTGGGAACAGATAGCAGAAAGAAAGAAAGCAGCTTCAAAACAACCAGCTGGGAAACAGGCCAAGGGCTCCCCCTCCAGGCATCAGGACCCTGGGGGACCTGTTGCCAAGGAGCCATGTTGGTGGCCTGGCCTGACCCACAAGGGCCTCCCCAGTTGGGGGGCCGCTGCCTAGAATATCGCCCTCAGAGCTCGAGCTGCCAATACTGATACCAAACCCTGCTGATGAGCTGGGACATGGTAACTGTCGCCTGGATTCTGCTGATTCTGGGAAGGGGCAGGGCTGTGAGCAGGTCACCTGGTAATGTCTTTCCAAACAGCTAGGAAGGAGATAAACAGCTACGAGACCATAAGTGCCTTGGGAACCATACCACCTAAACGCATGCCTCCCTCAAAGTGGCCAACCATGGCGCCTAGCTTACAATAAATGTTGACAAATGTTTAATTGGATACAAAATATTACCATCAAATAAATCAAGTGATATTCAGGGAACTGACCTCTCAACTATGTCAGATAATCCTACTATAGATCCCTGTGGCCCACTGAACTTCCATTCGGTTAATTCTCATTTCCCTTGTGATGGAAAGGCCTGAGTTCAAGTCCCAGCTTCCCCTCCCTGTGTGACCTTGAGCAAGTCTCCTAACCTCTCTGTGCTGCCTCACTTCCCCTATCTGTAAAATGTTGGCAAAAAAAAAAATAGTACCTACCTCACCAGGTTATTGAGTGTTAAATATGTTAACATTTACGAAATGCTTGGCATGAAGCCTGACCTATAAATACGTGCTTTATAAGTGTTTGTTCAATGCAATTTCTAGTTTATGTCTGTCTCTCCCAATAGATCATTTGCTCTGTGAGCATGAGGATGCTGTCTGTCTCAATTACTGTTGCCTTCCCATTGTTGCCACACAGCCTGGCAGAGAATAAGTGCCGTATAAATTATCACTTATTGAATGAATAAATGAGGACTAACAGCCTCATCAGGGAAACTTCTACTCTGTTGTTAACAAGACACTACTTCTACCCAGGAGGGAGCGTGGCAGAGTAAGCAGGACAAATTCTATGCCCTGGCAGATTCAAGAGGGAATTTTTCTGAGGAAATAGCTCTTTCCGTTCATGGAAAGACTATTTCAAAACAGGTCACCCACATCCCACCGAGATATTTATTGATTATCTAGTATGTGCTGAGCATCACTGAGAATATCACAGGTGACCCGTCTCGCGCCAGACCTTCTACTAAAGATCGAAGAAAGAACTGCCTGAGCTCTTAACAGTGCAGCTCAGAACCAAAATACAGACATTAATAAAAGAGTAGGATACAAAGTATGAGAGATATTCATTCCAGCTGTCCAGTTTGGGGAACATGACAGGAATCAGTTCTGATCTGGAATATCTGGTTGATGCCAAGAAGGACTGCAGTGGCCACAAAGCAGATGTCCGCTCTCCGGCTGCCCTGCCTCCTTCCCACGCCCAGCCTTCCCTCTGCCTCCTTGGCGGGGGGGGGGGGGGGGTTGTGGTTGCTCCAGGCAGCGGGCCACGCCCCTGCACACCACCCCACCCCTCCTAGACCCTGCCTTACCAAGGATGTCTTGGGCTACCCCCAGGGTTCAACCACAGCATTCGCTGTTCAACCTGGGGCTGGAAAGGCCAGGGGCAGAATGGCAATAATGTCACCTGTCTACTCTCACACACCTTATCTCATTGGAGCAAATGGAGGTATTACTTTCACAATTGTGAAACAGAAGCTCAGAGAAGGAAAGGAAGGTGTGTAGACTCATAAAGCAAATGTTGGTGGAGATGGCCACCTGACTCCCAGTTGCTGGTCTTGCACAGGGTGTAAGCTACCTTCTGCCGAAAAGCTCGGGCGTTAAGGAGTAAGTCAACGCTGCCCTTCCCTCAGGGGCTTCAGGTCTAACCATCTGCCATGCCTATACATGACTCCATCCTCACCACAAACAGCATTCACGCTACTTTTACAGTAATAATATTCAATGAGCCCCACACCGGCAAAAGTTTCCCTTGCCAAGCTCTGACCAAAGTGCTCTTCTCTGACAAAATGACTATGTGATTTATTTTGTTTCCCTTTGAGCTTCGCTGGTAGGGAGTTGGTATTAATTTTCCTGATCAACTACATCCCTAGAACAGACCCTTCATGTCATATGTATCAATGTGTTGTTCTCATCCCCACCCCGGCCTTACAATATATACATTCTGATATGTTTTCCCTGGCCCTGGGTATATATGTTTTGTTTCTTATTTTCCATGCACAGCATGTGTTCCTGCAGCAAACTCCTGTGGATCCTGGTGCAGTGAAGCAAGGCATACGTGAAAACTTCTACCATTTCAAGAACCTACAGGGCACCAAGCACTGTAAGATGCTCTGGCTACATTATGCTCAAGCCTCACAAAACCCTACCAGCTAGTTATAGGTACAGATATGGAAACTGAAGCCTGGAGAAGTAAAGGAACATGTCCAAAGTCAAACAGCTTTGAGGTGATAGGACTCAGACATGAGTCTGTCCACCTCCAAAGCCTAAGTGTGATCACTATGAAATCGTAATAAGAAATGCAATCCATTTTAAACCCATCAGATGAACCAATGTTCATTGAAGAGCATTTTGTATTTTTTTCCGACAAAAATCTTACAAAGCAGGTAGAATGGGCATGTTTAATATCCTTACTGAAGTGCTAATAGCATAAGTGACTATCACAGAATCGCTCAGTCGGGAAATGAAGATGAGTCCCTGACCTGGACCATCGGTCTCAAACTATGCCTGTGGAGTCCTGGGGTTTTGAAAACATGTGTGCCTCCCAGGCTCCACACCAGCAGATCCCGTTTTGCCTGTTTGGTTTCCAGTGCAGGATTTCTTTAAGAAAAATTAAAAAATCCTCTTCTTTAATACACTTTGAAAGCCACGATCCTTACCTACTGGAGGAGATGCGGCATCCCTAGCTACTCACCAATCATCTTGAGCCTTCCAACTCTATCCATGAGCAGGGCAGAAATGATGTTCCCAGGCAGCACAGACAGACTGCCGAGGAAGCTGACGAGGTAAATCAGGAAGTCATTATCCTGCTCAAAGTCCATGTGGCAGCCCTCCTTCTGCTCCAGAAAGGAAGTGTTGATAAACCGGCAGTTGATGAATTTATGCTCATAGAGGTCTGGGGAGAGAAGGACATCCTGGGGTCATTAGAGTGAGCAGGGGCTGGGGAGAGATGGGGCGGAGGCAGGGATGGAGTCCTACACCTTCCCTGGGCAGGATGCTCCAAGCCTCCCGCAATCAGATAATCTCAAAGTCAAGGTGATGTGTGGCCAGGTATGGATGAAGAGAAAAAACTAACAATGTAATAACTGCTTCAACTTCCCATAAGCAAAGGGAAATGAAACAATCACTCCTGGAGAGGCATGTCTGAATACATCATCTCTCAAGTAGGAAATGGTCCTGTTTCTATCAATGAGATGGCACCAGGGTCCACACCAAGGCCGGGCCACTCCTCCGAGGCTACCCAGCTTATAGGAAGCAGAAGACAAGAGAATTGGGTCTGGATTGAGGTGACCACTCCAAAACCTGTGCAGAAACCTAAACACTCTTCAAAATAAAAACCATTTGCAGGGCGCCTGGGTTGTTCAGTCGGTTGAGTGTCCAACTCTTGATTTCAGCTCAGGTCATGATCTTGGAATCCTGGGATCGAGCCCTACATCAATCTCTGTGCTCAGGGATTGTCTGCTTGGGATTCTCTCTCCCTCCCCCTGCTTGTGCTCCCTCTTTATCTCTCTCTAAAATAAATAAATAAAATCTTTAAAAAATAAAAATTAAATTAAATTAAAAATAAAATTAAAAACCATTTGCTCAGTAGTTTCCAGGGTGGGGAGCTGGGGAGACGAATGTGGAAAGCACAGAGGATTTTTAGGGCAGTGAAAATACTCTATATGGCATGATAATCGTGAATATATGCCATTACACACTTGTCCAAGCCCAAAGAGAATATCCAACACCAAGAGTGAACCCTCCTGTAAACTCTGGACTTGGGATGATTCTGAGGTGTCAGTGTAGGTTCATCAATGGTAACAAATACACCACTCTAGTGGGGGGATATTGGTAATAGGGGAGATAGGGGCAGGGGGCAGGAGTTCTATGGAAATCTCTGTACCTTCTTTCTAATTTCATTGTAAACCTAAAACATCTCCAAAAAAATCAAGTCTTAAAAAAATATAAACCATTTACTTTGGACCTTGTTCCCAAGTCTTCCAACACCTTCTAACACCAACTATTTGAGCAGAAAGAGTGCCTAAGCAAGCTCTCCGAAAATCTGGATTTCGGGAACCTGCTCTGCAGCTGGCTCTGAAACTCCTCCTACAAAATTAGAAAAGTACACCTAATTCTCTCCATAACTTCCCAGCACTGACATTTCATGAGTACAGGTGTTTGCAGAAATCCCCACGTGACAGTATGCAAACAAAGAGGTAACTTAAAACTTGAAAGAAAAAATTAAAAGATGCATCAGGTTTTAATGACAAACAGGAAATGTATAAGCCTTTTTAAGTTCAGGCTAAAAAACAATTATGAAGGTACATCTCATAATGGATCACTTAGAGACGGAGGGATATTTGGAGGCCACATATTGAACATTTTGGGGCTGACCTCATGGAAGAAGAAGATATCCTTGCATCAACCACGGTGCTGAGGCCCAGGAGAAAGCACTAATATTGACACAATGTGCGGAGTTCAGTGGAAAGATCACAGACTTTAGAACCAAACAACTCAGGAATGAATCCAAGCTCCCTAAGCTTGCTAGCTGTGGCCTTGGACGAGTGCTTAAGCCTGGGTTTCCTGAGCTATAAAATGGAAGTAAATGTACATTTCTCACTGGAGACAATGTAGGTGAAGCCCCTGGTAAAGCTCAGGTAGTTTCCTTACATCTCAATTCCCCCTGGTATGTTATTAACGTATGATGAGAGTAAAAGTAATGAGGAGGGATAGAGTGGTGGGATTTCGTGAATGTTTTTTAATCATGGAAGTCCAAAATAGTGTGATTTTAAAATATGCTTCTCATCTCACTTTATGCACAGGCTTGAAAAGATACAACTTTCCCTTTTCCTTTATTATTGTGAGAACATGAGCCTTGAAGTTTGCAAGATTCAGATTACGTGAGGTCTTCAAGAATGCACTCCACGCATAAAATGCGGCCTTCCTGAAATACTTTTCAGGCTTTTCATATGTGCCATAGTGTGTTCCCACTGAAGACCTGCAGCATACAAGCATCAGTCTCCTTGAGACCAGACCACTCACCCAGAAATTTCGTTTCCACTTCACATGTAATAAAACATGCAGACAAATTAAATGCATTGGTAAAGATGGTGCAACTAATCCATGCCATACCTGGGGCTAGAACCCATTTCTCCAACCTGACTCTCAGTAACCATGTCTGTGTATACCTTCCTACTCCTAAAGCTTATGACTGAGCACTTTGCTTCTTAAATAAGACCAGTCCCACCCTTGATACCATGCACCTACACCACCCATGTTCTCACCTGTGTTGTAGAAGATGGTCGATTCAATGGTGCAATTTTTGAAATAGGTATCAGTAGATGTAACGTCTTCAAAATAGCACTCGTCAAAGAATGTGTCCTCAAAAAGTACATGTTTAAAGTACATCTTTGTGAACCTGTGGGAAAGACATTAGTCCCCGAGTGATTCAACCAGGAAGAAAGAAGACTTGAGACCAAAATGGAAAGCACAGAAAGGCAGAAAAAGGAGAATTTCAAACCAAAGGGTGCTGAAACGTTATTTTCCAAGGTTAGTTCCCTATTCTTTAGCTGGTGTTTATAAAGGAGGGAGGACAGCGGGAGTGCGGAAGCTGGTATCTGGCCTGAGATACGGGGCTACTATGCAGCAGCCGGATAATTCCAAAATGCAGTCACGGACCTTCTGCATCAGACTCACTGAGATATGGACTAGCGTGAAATGAAAGTACTGATCACATGGCACTTTATGAGGAGCTTTAAAAACATGCAGATCCAGGGCGCCTGGGTGGCTCAGTCCGTTAAGTGTCTGTCTTTGGCTCAGGTCATGATCTTGGGGTCCTGGGATCGAGTCCCACATCAGGCTCCCTCTCCTTCTGCCCCTCTGCCTCCTGCCCGCACCACCTGCTCCTGCCCTCTCTCTCTCAAGTAAATAAAATCTTTAAAAAAATGGAAGGTCCCTCAGCTGGTCTTAGTAGGTTTGGAAGCAATAGATTTGTGAGGGACTGAGAATCTTCATTTTAGAAAAATTTCCCCAACAAATATCTAGAGCAATAGGCACTTTCATTCACACAGTTGGTAGAATATAATTGGTGCAGCCTCTTTGAGAAGCAGTTCTGCAAAATTTTAAGTGCACAATTGCATTGACCTAGAATACTACCTCTAAGAATTGACCCTATTTATACTTGCTCATGCATTCAAAAGAGATACATTCACTGATGCTCGATGCAACATTTCATATGGTAAGGATTGATTACTAGACAGATGATGGGTGGGTAGGTAGACAGACAGACAGATACCACGCAGTGGAATACCATGTGGCTGTTACAGTTTTTAGGTAGATCCATATGCCTTAATATGGATCAATCAATCTTCAAGGTATACTGTTAACTGAAAAAAAAATCAAATGCAAGCTGTGACCATTCATGTAAGAAATTATATGCCTCCAAATGCATAGAATATGCCCCAAGAGTTACACAAGAAACTGGTAGATGTGTGGCCCTGGGGAGGTGCATTGGGATGAGCTGAATTTTTCCCTTATATCAAGCATACATATTATTTCTTCACTGAAAAATGAAACAAAGGTGGAAGCACCTAGGTGACTAGGAGGTGCAGCCACATTTGGGAACCACTGCTGTACTCCAACTCCTACATGAACTTAATAGGAAAAAACAATATTACATTCAAAACCATATACTGACATATATTAACATCATCCTCTGCTGGACCTTTACCAAGCTTGGTCAAACTTTTAGGCTAGAAGCCTTGGATCTGGTTGTTTTTTGTTTTTTGTGTTTTTTTTTTTTATATTGTTAGTCACCATACATTACATCATTAGTTTCTGATGTAGTGATCCACGATTCACTGTTTTCATATAACACCCAGTGCTCCATGCAGTATGCGCCCTCCTTAATACCCATCACCGGGATAACTCATGTCCCCAAACCCCTCCCCTCTAAAACCCTCAGTTTGTTTCTCAGAGTCCATAGTCTTTCATGGTTCTTCTCCCCCTCCAATTTTCCCCCGCTTCATTTTTCCCTTCCTTCTCCTAATGTCCTCCATGCTATTCTTTATGTTCCACAAATAAGTGAAACCATATGATAGTTGGCTTTCTCTGCTAGACTTATTTCACTTAGCATAATCTCCTCCAGTCCCATCCATATTGATGAGAAAGTTGGGTATTCATCCTTTCTGATGGCTGAGTAATATTCCATTGTATATATGGACCACATCTTCTTTAACCATTTGTCTGTTGAAGGGCTGGATCTGTTTTCATTTATGAAGAATTACAACTCATTCATTTGTCTATTCATTTATTTATATACTCAGTCTTCAGCAAAATTTAGGTACATGGTATTAGGTGCTATGCATACAGAGAGGAAAGACAGGGTCCCTGCTCTCAAGTCTAATTGGGGGAAAAAAAACAAGCAAACAGACAATAATACATGGAAGTCACCGTGATAGAAGTGGCACAGGCTGCTGAGGGTCATTGTTTCTTTCAGGGCCACCACATAATTCAGTCCATGACCACAGATGATGCCCAGTTCTCCTTTCCCTTCATGCTATATTGTATTCTGCTAACAACCCTACTCTAGAGTCACCTGTCATGAGCTTCTGCAAAAAGACCTTCCCCTACCCCTGCCCCGAGTAAGAAGGCCTAAGTAAGTGTTTCTCAAAGAAAAGTCCCCAGAACACTTGCATCAGAATAAAACCAAAGGTTGTTATGAAAGATGCAGTTTCCTATATTCCTAGACCTCTTGAACCAGAATCACCCAGGCAGACGCCAGATTATTTTTAAAATGTGACAGCCATTGGTCTAGGAAAGCCAAATTATTTTATAGAATTTTTCACAGGGTCAAATTTGCTACAGACTTTTAAACAGGGGCCTCCAGAGGCTTTCACTGAACTCCAGATTTCCATGGAAATTGGTAAGCCTTGTGTTACAGGAAGATGCCTTTGATTTCAAAATTAATGTAATTTGTATGCTGGATATGTTTACTCAGGAAAGCTATTCCTAGAGACTGTCTCAGGTCTTTGCCTTTCTTAATATATCGTTCTCTTTAATATAGTAATAGGCTGCTGATGTGACCCTCAGATATATTTTAATGTTCTGCCAGGGGTGGGTGAGGGAGCAGAGCCATAAATCATAATGGGCCTGACGTAAGCAGACCTTAAAATGTATCTCCAAGTGAGTTATAAAAAGCCAAAGTTATAAAGAAGGAGAAAAAAGGAGAAAGGACCAAGGCATATTTTATGAGTCTTTATATAAATCATCCCCTATCTCTAATTTATATACTGAACTGACCCGAGATTCTTCATTCATGAGAGTTCAAAGGCTGAAAGAAAAGTTAGCATAAGTATCTTATGGAACTTGTCCTGTAAGAAAACACAAGCCATTGGCAATCCAGAATCTATGGCAGGATTATTAATACAAACACTTTATCTCAGTTACCCTCAGGCCCAATGGCTAGTCCACCAAACGGTCTAAACTATGCCAAAAATTTTATCTGTTTTGTCACTGTATTTTACCTGACGGCAACCTCAAGAAGCTCTGTCTAATTAGTATTCTAATAAACAAGAAAATTGATCATTAAAATTTAGTGTGATAATTATCAAGATAGGGGTATATTCTAGGATCACTTCAAAGGGGACACTTATGATCCGATTGGGAAAAACACGAGATGATGTATCCTGAAGGACAAGTAAAAGCTATCCAAGTGGACATGGAGTAAGTGCAGTCCAGGCAGAGGGAACAGCATGTGCAAAGACATGGAGGCATATTACATACACCCTTTAACTGCCTTTTTTTGAAAAGTAGAGAGTTCTCTCCCAGATAAATTAAATCACCTTTTGGGGAGAAAATAAACAAAGGGTACAGTTCTCCAAAGATTCCATACATGTAACCTACTATCATATACCTTCCAGCTACAGTAAAATGAAATAAAATGGTTTGGAAAAGAACTGGAATTCTAGTCTCTCACATATTATCTCCTGTCAGATCCCAACCTAACCTTTAAGCAGAGCATAAAGAGGATCATTTGCTTCAGAAAACATATGCGTGGACCTAGTTTCTTTAAAGAAAAGAAGAAGGTGGAAGTCTTGCCTAAATGCCCCACGTAACTTGTTAAATTCTCTAGTGTCATCATCAGGCCTGTCCCCCACCTCTGATACCACTCTCCGAAAACTGACGAGTGGAGTCCAACTTTCAGAGTTTAATCACCAAGAGATCTCAGGCAAGTTTTTTCTCCTCTCCAGGCAGGCATATAAAAATCTTTAAAGTAGGGGTATTGAGGAGGTGGTTTTTTCCAGCTCTATATGGTTCTATAAATGAGGAGTGTCTTAACTGTGTGTTGCCTGAAAAGAAATAAAAGAATGGACCTAGGATATGGCCATCTTTCTTCTCCAAATGATGAAAATATTTCGTGGAAAATAAGAAGTATTCATGGAAATACTGGGGCCAATGTCAATCAAATAGACTCTCTAAAAACCTATGTTCTTGAGCCTCAGTGAATCTGCCGGTAAACCCAACTTCCTTTCTTCCTTTTCTTTTACACTCAAGGCTACCCAAGTGCTGAAGTCGCAAGATCATATCCTGTCCCTTTTACAAAGATCCTAGCACAGGTACAGCCTTTGGGAATAAAATCTTAAGCAGAATTATAAAAATGGAATACAGGGGGAAAAGAGAAATAATAAAGATAAAAGCAATTATTAATTTGCAAGAGGAAAAGAACAAATTCATATATAAATATGGTTGCAAACATCCTAAATAAACATTACTTTAAACATGCTAAAATCTGAAAAGAACACAAAATTTCTTTAACTGGTAAATCGATAAAAATGTATTAGTACATTCATACCATGGAATAGTACTCTGCCATAAAATAAACTGTTAAATGTGCAAAAACATGAATAGATCTAAGTGCATAATGCTAAGTGAAAAAAAAATAGGATTAAAAGGCTTCATATTATAGGATTCCATTTATGTGACAGAGAGAAGAGCATTGGTTGCCAGGGACTGGAGATGGAGTAAGGATTGACTACAAAGTGGCATGAGGAAATCTGGGGAGTAATGGTATCTGGATTCGTGGTGGTTACATGACTATATGCACTTGGCAAACTCACAGAACTATACTATAAAAAGGGTGAATTTTACTGTATATAAATTATAAGTTATACTCCAATAAAAAGGAAGTCCTAACAAATTTCTAAAGTAATAGTATCTACCCCCAAAAAAACCCAAAACAAGTTCAAATTACTGACTAGATTGACTCAACACTCCCACACCCTATAAGTGCTTAGCAAAAGAGATGTACCCATTCCTACAAAGATCTCTACTGTCCTACATATCTGACTTTCAACCAAAAATTACAAGACACACAAAGAAGCAAGAGTAAAACAATATTATGTCAAACAAAGTAATATT